CCCCAAAACCCCAAAACCCCATATGAATAAATCAACAGTTTATTTAATTACAATTAAAAGCAAGAATTATATAAAAATCATTCTTATTATCTTTTGAGTATTTTTTCTTGCTTCTTTTTCTATTTCATCTCTAACAAAGCAGTTTTTTCTGCAATTTTTTTCTCAATCTTTTGTTGTTTAATCATAACCATCTTCGTATCTTAAATATCTTTCTTCATAAATGCAATGATAATGTTCAAAATTACATACCTACCGAAGAAGTGAATCACTCCTACTGACATAATAGTGGCAAACCATCCTTGCCTCTCATAAATGTACTCGATAGTCTCATCAGCGAGGTAAATGGTATTTTAATTAAATAGATTTCCTTGAAGGAAAAGTAAATTCGCTCTAATCATAGCAAATGAGTAATCATAAAAACCGTATGTAACATATCCATAGAAGAAATGGCAATATGAAGCAATAGCAAAAGACAAGATAAATACGAACTAAATAATCTTCTTGATAGTTGAATTAAGGTAGTTCTGTAGCGATCTAGTAATCAGACTTAGCGATGGAATCCAAAAGAATGTATACTTGATAATTGATATTGCCATCATAAAGATAATTACTGAGTCAAATATGAAGATAGCTTCATGAAACAGGTAGAACAAGGACAGGTCAATATATTTCTCAGTGTGACTCTATGAATTGGCTTTTTAGTCAAATAGTCTATCATAAAGGTATTTCATTCCTAAGTTTAGGTAAGTGAAGATAATCATTAGAAAGTTGATTTTCTCAAAGAATGATACGCCTCTCAAACTAAATATTTTCAACCTGTCTTTGCATGTTTTCTTCTTGTTTTAAGCTTTATTATCAGGTGCAACATTCTTATTAAGCTTTGCTTTGTCATCTGAATCATCAATGGTGCGATCAGTTTTAAAGTCTTGAATTTTCCTCTCTTCATCTGTTTCTTTGGCAGCTCCTCCCTCGATAGAAGATTCTTTATCATGATTCTTTTTCTTCTCAGCCTCTTTCTCTTGCTTTTGATCTTTTTCTTGCTGCTGCCTTTATCTTCTCATGCTAACTATTGAGATGGCTAGTAGGATGAATCCGATAATGTAAATAAGTATTGACAAAGTTTTGAAGTAATTAGTGCTGAAAAGTTGAGCACTCAGGATTATAGTGTCATACTCTAGAGTGATTAAGCCTGAAGACTAGAACTGAAAGATCAACTTAAAAGATTGCATGAGATTTGTGTTGAGGTTAAAGATGTTGAAGTTAATCATAAAAACTAAAGTAGCTTCATCTATCCAGTTAGGCTTTATTAAATTTTCATTCAATATAGTTTCCCAATCGCCTTCTTTGGTAAAATTGTATTTTAAACTCTTATAGAACCCTTAGTTGTAATATGTGAAAATTTGTCCCCTAGAAGTAACTATTCTATTTTCTACTGTGAAAGATGAATTTTAGAAATTAGATTCATTGTAGTCACCAGATTGATAAGTAGTGAAACATGATTAGTTTTAGTAAATATCTGAAAATCCAGGCCTACTGCTAAAATCACATGTTCTATTTTGGCCTCTGATCTGTTGAAGTTAGATGTAAGGTAAAACTGCATTACTTTCCCAAAATAGATCAAAATGGTTAGGGTCGTAATAGATGTTTCTACTTAGATCGAATTGGATATAGTTTAGCATTTGTGTCATGTTGTTGAATTAGACTTAGCTCTCTTGCATGTCGAATACTTGGTTCTTTGCTCCATCCTAACCCCAATATGACATAACTACTTTTCTCTAGTAAACTGTCAGGATTATCTAGAATATGAAGAATAAGAGGAATATTGCTGTTTGAGAAAGTCCTATACTCACTTAGATGCATCTTTACTTTCTTTAAATTCTCTCTCTAATGTTCTTCAGTTCTTGTTCTCTCTACCTTGCAGCGTCTCTCTATCTACTTTAATGCAAATTATTTTGGTGAATTTATTCCTATTCCTCCTATTCCTACAACTAAGCTATTTTTATGTTTTCATCTCCAACGATGTAGTCTAAAGTAGACATATTACATTTGAGAGCCAGTTTAAGTACTGGAGTAGTTCCTCTTATTTTAGAATTTATTAATGGAAACAAGGTCGGGAGAACTTTTAGATTTTGCAGGAGAATCTCGTCCTTTTCATTTTTAAAGAATATTTCCTCAGCAGGTAGAGCGAAGTACTGAGCAATAGCAGGCTTAATATTCATAAATGTGTGATTGTCACTCTTCAACTCAAACACAGCTCTGTTACCTTGGTGTTCAACCTAAAAACTTAGATTTTATCTGCTAAGTCTATATCAAAGTTATGCCTAACTAAATATTACGGTTCAATGTAGTTTTCTATAGTTCGATTGCAAATAGTATCGATTTCACTATTAATGAAGTCTTCGTGCAACACATTTTTATCCTCATGCCTATGCGATGACTACTGCTACTAAATCATTTAAGCTTAATTTTCCTGTTTCAAATACATATTGTTTTCCTCTTCATCTGCAATTTTTCTCTCAATTTTGTCAACTTCTTCCTTTTACCTCATTAAATCATTAATAAGCTACTAGTTTCTCTTTCTCAGATTAGCATATTAATCATCAAGTAATTTAGCCTCTTATTGAAGTTACTCCAATTGTTTTTATTGTCTAACTTTATCCTTTGATTGCTAATTTTGTTAGAATCGAAATGAATTTGGAAATTACTTTATTATTTTTTTTGTCTTTCTTACCCATTTCTTCAAATTAGTATAACTTCAATTAATTATTACAGTTTAGTTTTTAAATTCTATAATCTTATTACTCTTTAAATTCTCATGGGGTTTTGGGGTTTTGGGGTTTTGGGG